ACTAGAGGCCAGCTACATGCAGTCGGCCTTCAATCTCTGACAGAAATGCCGGTATCCCTCCTCCTCCTCCTGTCATCCTGTACTCCACCCACCCGACCCCCCAGGGCCTGATGTTGTAATGCAAACTTATCTTTGCCAAGTCCCTTCCAGCGATTTGACTGGGAGATAATGGGTAAACCATGTCACCTATCATGGGCTTAGCACCTGTTACTGGGCATTCCTCACAGGGCGTTCAGAAAGGTAGTTGGATTTGGGGCACCGTGTGGGTGTCCCTCTTCATGGAGAACTGGTCTCCACTTGCCATTGCTGGCCTGCCCTCCATCCCTTGTGGAGTACTGGGCACCTGCCAGAGACTGGGGTGCCAGTTACAGCCTCACTCCCTAGATAGACAAGGGCTGTGGCAGACAGAGCCAGGGGGAGGAGGGCTTGGGAACCCAAAGCTGGCTGAGGGGGGTTCCCAAAATGGGGTTAGGAGCAAGAGGGGAGGTGAGCCTCTCCGAATGATGGGGTCGGAACACCTTCCAGAGGTGGTAGCCACAAAACTGGGTTCAAGGAACGAGAACTTCAACAGGACAGCAGTACAGGCAGAGGGTGCATCCTGCACGAATGCCCTGAGTGCGGGCAGGAGCCATCAGTTCTGCAGGAGCAGATGCTGCAGGGGCTGGGGTGGTAGGGGAAGACAGGGCCCGTTCCGGAGTGCTTCCTGGCTGGCAAGAGAAAACCCCAGCCTGCGGGGGGGGGGGGGGAGCAGGAGGGGCGGGCGCTGGGGGCCCGGGCTGCCAGGCTGAGGAGTGACCCGAGCCTCCCCTGGACTAGTTCGTGAAAATGATGGTGCTGGTGGTGGTGACGTTTGCCATCTGCTGGCTGCCCTACCACTTCTACTTCATCCTGGACAAATTCTGGAAGGACATCTACCACCAAAAGTTCATCCAGCAGGTCTACCTGGTGATCTTCTGGGTGGCCATGAGCTCCACCATGTACAACCCCATCATCTACTGCTGTCTCAACCACAGGTGAGCGCCCCCGACCTCAACCCCAGCTTCCTCCCCTCAGCCTTCAGGGAACCATAGGCTGGCCCTCTCTCTGCCCAAAGCTTTGCCCCCCCCCCCCAGCCAGTCATTGCTCTCAACATCTGTCTATTCCAGCTCCTTTCTGGGGCTACACTGGAGACAGGAAGGACAGAGAGATGGAGTCAGAGAGAGGCAGGGCAGAGGAGGAGGAGGAAAGGAGTCAGGGAATGAGTGAGGTTACCCCTGACTTGACATTTGTAAGAGCTTCCTGCGATGAGGAAAAACTCAGGACTTTCCTGGTCAGTACCCACCTGGACTGCTCTGATGGGACTTTCAGAGCAGCAGAGGACCAACCATGGCAGAGACAGCCAAGATCACCCCTCCCTCGGACACCATCAGCTGCTCCAGCCTATACTTCTGGGAAGGTGGAGTCACAGCGAGGGGCTGGCACTTGGGGTTGGGCTAGGCAGGAACCCCAACACCCAGAAGTCCTCTTAAGAGCAGCACATTCAACCTCAGAAAATGCTGCGGGGGTGCTGTGGGACAAGAGAGAGGGCCCCCTCTGCTCTTTGTGCCTTTATCACACCCCTGCCCACATGTACGGGAATTACCATGAGGGGCTTTGCTGCTCAGGATCTTTCTCAGGCCAGCTATCAGGGGTAGAACAGAAGGAAGTGAGAAAACCATGTCTTTGAGTATTTAATGGCGCCAGAACCCTCCTTTGTCTCCTGAGAGGCAGAGGCAGGTAACAGGAGGGAGATGGATTAGTTATGCCCATTCTACTGATGAGGAAGCAGAGCTCAGAAAGGAAGACTGCTAAAGCCACACAGCAAGGATGGAGCTTGAATCCATCGATCTCCAAGGCCTGTCATCTTGACACATTTCTCTTGGATACAAGGGTCTGTATATCTGGAAGCGACAGCCTCCTGGCAGCAGAGTCCCTGGGTATCTGACCACCACCCCCGGCCCAAGTTTCTGAATCACTCAGCTTGGTGACACTAACATAAGACGGGTCCCCCTGGCAGGCATCTCCAATAATGTGCCTGGCACTGTCCCGGGAACTTGGGAGATACCAGCAAGCAAAACCATTGAGGGAGGGAGCTGAAGGGAGCTGAAGTTCTAAAGGGGGAGACAGACCAGAAGCAAGTACAGTGAGTAGGCGAACCACCTGGTGCATTAGGTGATAGGTCCTATGGAAAAGAAAAACCAGGACTGGCTGAGGGAGGAGAGGCAAGGGTGGGACAGGGGTCACAGTTTTCCAAGACGGTCAGGGTGGCCTTGACCTTGAGGAGCCTTTTGAGCAAAGACTTGAGGATGGTGTCAGCCCATTTCGCTCTGGGTAGAGGGGACAGTGAGGCAAGGGCTAGTCCTCTGACATGAGGGTGCCCCGGGGGCCTCTGAGCAGGGGAACATGTGCTGACTTCCCTGTTGAAAGCATGAGTTCAGCAGCTCTCGGAGGTAGAAAAAGCAGGGAGATGTTTAACAGGCAGTCCCCAGTGGTGATCCCAGTGAGAGAAGTGGGCTGAATCTGCTATTGCTAAGTTAGAGCCAACATAATTCCGCAGAGGGAGTCTGGCCTGCAAGAGGAAGTCAAGGACAACTCCAAGGCTCTTGACCTGAGCAACTGGAAAGATGGAGAAGTTGGGACAAGGAGGACTGGGGGGAGGATGACGGTGAGCTCAGTGAGGACATGCCGAGTGTGATATGACGGGTAGAGACCATTAAGTTCCCATAGCAAAGGCATTTGTTAGGTCACAGTGTGGAATCTTGTAGAGCTTCAGGGGGATGAACCAACAAGGTCCTGCTCTTCTGGAACATGGAATCCTGAATCTCCTGGGAGTACAGCTCCCAGCTTACCATAGTTTTGTTTATGATTCAAATTGTTAAGGCTGCTTTCTCAGCTAGCAAGCCAGTACACCATCCTGAGGGCAAACAACCTTCAGTACAGTCGCCAATAGATTGCATGAGGTGTTCAGCGCTTTACAATAACTAGGCTTTGTGTTAGATGTTTTTGTCCAACTGTAAGCCTTAAAGTACCTGGGCATATTCAAGGTTGATTCAGCTGAACTGTGACCTTCGGGAGATTAGGTGTCCACATGCATTTCCGACATACTTTCAACTTACAACGTGTTTATGGGGACCTGACCCCACCACTAGTCGAGGAAGATCCGCTCAGCTCTTTCCCCTCGTGGCTGCCACTCAGATCATGTTTCTGCTCTTCCGATGGCCAGCATCCCCCTTCTACAGCCCACCCCCCAAGTCAGTCTGCTGCTGCTTGTCTACATGTCCCCTGCCCCCTCCCCCCATGATGCCACGGCGACAGCTCATTATTTTCTAAGCAAATGTCCCAAAGCTTTGTAGTTCTACATGTATTACTTTTTTCAAAGCAGTGCCGTGGAGTAGCATTAAAGGCCTGACATCATCAAAGGCCCAATTTTTAAGACTCCTCTTCAAAAACTCCTTTAGGAGCCATTTAGCAAGTCAAGCCAAAACATCTGTTAACATTTACATGATTTCTTTTTCTCTGTCAGTAAGAACAGCTTAATCACTCATTTCAATCCCTAGAGAGCTCTAAGTTACTCTGGGTTTGTCCAGAGCTTTAATGGACACATTCATTTAATCATATGTCCCCTAGACACTGAGAATGACAGGAAATTAGGAGAGGAGATGTGCTCCTGGTTGTGGGGACCACACAGCAGCTCCTGTAACTACCCCCCTCACTGCTTTGCTCAAGGTGACCCTCTGACCCCCAGGTTTCGCTCTGGATTCCGGCTCGCTTTCCGTTGCTGCCCATGGGTCACGCCAATCGAAGAGGACAAGATTGAGCTGACTCACACTCCGTCCATCTCCATGAGACTCAACAGGTGTCACACTAAAGAGATTGTGTGCATGGCTGGGGATCTGGCCCCCTCGGAGGCCATCAATGGGCAGGCTGGGGGTCCCCCAGAAGGTGTACTTACCGAACTTTAAAGCCTTGGGCCTGGCTGCGGGGTGAGGCTTAGCAACCTTGGAGTAGACCAGATCTGAAAGTCTGGCCCGTGCCTCACCCTTCACTATACCAGTGGAAAATAAGATGCAGCCGGGAACTCTACAGCACATACCGACTCTAACGGGCCTCCGCCCTCTGCCCCAGATAGTGCTTCAGGGAATCCAATAAAGTCAAAATCTAGGACTATGTACTCCAGGAGCTGCAAGCTTAGATGGCTTTCTGGGGACATGCTACGTAACAAATGCACTGGATCCAGCCTAAAAGAAACGCTGCCAATGGGTGATAAAGGCAACCAACTCTCCTGCTGGGCACTGGCAAGTGGGAAAGATGGGCACTCACAGGACAGCAGGTGAGCAGCTCTGGACAGATGCCGTGTCCCAGGAGCCAGATCTTCTGCATCTTTCAGGAGAAGGCCAAAACCATATCTGTGCGACGCTCAGCATTGTTAGATCTGGCCTGCATGTCTGTCAACTTTGGGTCAAGTGACTCAGCACCGGCCTGTGGCAGTGAGTCATTATCTGGCTAAAAACGCAAGGGATGAAGCTTCTGACTTTGCAAAGACCACCGCCTGGCAGGTCCTCTGCCCCAGCAGCTAACTCAGCTAGCAGCACAAAGGGGGGTACAGTACAAGAGGGGGTGCCATGTCAAACGAGCCTCAGCTGTGTTATCTCGGGCAAGTCATTTCAGCCTCTTCCTGCACTGAAGGCAAGACCGCCTCGCCTCACAGGGACCCTGAGAGGGTGGGAGAGGGAGGCCTAAAAACGGGTAGGTCAACAGGCCAGGAGCCGGGTAAGCCGCGGCATGGCTTTCACGAGGGCCAGGTCAGCCACCTCCCACAAATGCCCCTTAACACACTCTCACCTCACTGCTGCAGCAAGTTGGCAATATCAGCTATCCTGAGGGCTGCAGGCAGGTCTGGCCCAGTCTACCTGCTTCCGACTCTCTCCCCCCCACACACACACAACACCCTCCAGGGCCCCTTGAGAAGAATCACGTGACACTGAAAATGCACATCAAGAGTTTAATGTTACCTGCTTCTCCACAAAGATCACCGGCAGCGCCAAATAAAGGTCTCACCAAACCAAATGGGCATGTAGTCAATCCCGGAAGGGTTGGAGCAGCGGGGAGCCTCCGTGGGGAGCCTCCTCAAGGAGCTGCAGTCGCAGCTTGGGAGACTCACGTGCCACCCCAATCACGGCACCAGAATGCAGACTGAGGTGGGGGTCCCCCATCTGGATGGGGGAGAATCCAAAGTGGCAGCTGTGGGGTGGAAGAGCAACCTCAAGGTCGAGGGGCCCAATTTCCTAGGAAGGGGTCAATTTAAGGTGGGGAGAGGGGACAGCACAGTCACCCTGCTGCCCTGGGCTGCTGCAAGATTTCCTCTGTGTGAGGCTGGGGGTCTCTCATCTGCCAGACAAGATGATAAAGGGGGTGGGTGGTGTTGGAAGCTGCCCTTTCTTCTCACTGAATCCAAACAGCCCCTGGATGCCAGGTGGACTTTCTTTGTTCTAACTACCAGTGAGGAGGACAGGGGCCTTACCTCCCGCACCTTGACCGTGCTGGGGTGGGGCTGCTGGAGCCTCTCTGGGGTAGGGCTGTGGGGCTGGAACAGGGAAACAGGAGGGCAGGTGCTGGAAGACAAGAGGAAAGGCTACTGCTATAATACTAGGCAGGGAGGGCCACGCCCAGTGAGGGCTGGGAGCTGAGGAACACCATTTTCGTTTCAAACTCTCACCCTCACAAAGAAGGCCACAAAAATCCCCTGGGTGGGGGCTTTGCTGCATCCAGAATGTCCTCCCCTTCCCTAAGCATTAAGCATCACTCGGGTCTTTGAACTGGTACAAAGTTTACTAGGTCATACAACATGGCTCACAAAAGCAATGGGAAATTCCGATGAGGGCATGGATGGTTGGTTGATTGGTTGGTTGGTTCCTTTTACCCAAATGGAGACAAGACACTTCCCCGCAGCAATGCCCACCTCCCCCCACCCCACAAGACAGACAAGATTCAAGACTGTCAAGACTGTCACACGTGGCGATGACCAGTCCCATGGACACACAGCTCAGTGGCACTGACACACCCCCACAGGCTCCTCGTGGTGCCCGCCAGCAGCAGTAGCTGGGGTGAGGGGGGCAGCAAACTGCCCCGGGGGGGTCCCGGCAGTGTCTGCTGGTGTTGGTACATCTCACACAGGATGTGTCCCCGAGACAGGCTGCAGCGGCACACCAGGCCTGTCAGATGGTGAGACTTTTCATCTGGAGCCAATAAATAACTCTGCTGGATGAATGCATAAATTAGGAATGGATGCCACTAAACTTCACGCGTGGGGAACGTACAACCAGGCTGAAATCAAATCATGCAGAGTGTCAGGGCAGGTGAAGGGGAGCTGGAGGTGAGAGATTATCGACAGCACACACTCTATTTTGTACCCTACATTATACGCCATTAGTTGGGTTGTGTTTCCTCCCCGCTGTGGCGGTGGCCAGCCAGGGCATGGCATCTCCCAGCAGAGCCGGCTGGGAGCTGGGGTCGCCGCTGGAAGAGAGAGGTGCTGGAAGGGCAGCAGACTGGGGCCCGGGGCTCTTAGCTGCTCCTCTCTTCTCGGAGCCGGACGCCCACTGCCGTGATGAGGGCCGCCCCCTTGCCGCTGCCGTCCTCGGACAGGAGGAAGGACACGGTGCACTTTGGTGACAGTTCCGACACGGTTTGGTGCATGATTCGGGAGAAGCTACAAGAGATAACAGGAAAATGAGAGTCCGGGGGTAGGCAGAGGAAGCAGAGACAATGGACCCACCTGGAGGCACTAAGATACCCTAAGAATGAAGGGGCACACAAGAGGGGAGGCACCACTGAGAACTAAGTAGGTGCTGAGAGGAAAGAGGGTACACCCCATCCTATCACCACAGCTCAGCAGGGAGGCACAGCTGGGAACCCAGCAGCAAACCCCTCTGAACAGCTGCGAAGGGCCAGGCATGAGCCTCAAAGCTGGAGACAAAGGAGACTGAGAACTGAGAGGGAGGGACCCCGGGGCATGGACGGGGGGCCATGGAGGAGGGCACAGGATGACCCTGCATTGGGTCAGTTCAGCAGCCACATGGGGAGAAACTGCATCCAGTCCCAGCTGTCGTCCTCTGGAACCCACAGCCCAGCCCAGCCCAGCCCCAACTGTTGCTGTCCAACACAGGCGCCCGAGCCAAGGTGAGGATGCTGGGGTCATGGGGCTCCTCGAGGTTAAGTACCACCCTTTGCTGAGCACTTATCAGGTGACCCACACTGTATATACATAATTGTCAGTGCTGCTAGTGACTGCAGCGCTAGATGAGACTGCAGAGATTAAGCAATTGAGTGCAGCTTCCAAATGACGGTGTCAGGATTAAATCCAAGTGTGTCTAGTTCCACAGCCTACCTCTAAACCACACCATGTGCTACTTCAGGTAAGAGGAGGACAGATACCAAGGTGGAGGGCAGAGGTGGCATGAAGCCAGAGAGGTGGTTCCATCCCAAGCCCTGGCTATGAGGTGGGTGACACTTTCTAAGTGGGCTGACATGATGGCCTCGTTTACATGGATGGACCCAGTGCAGTTAGTAGTAGCACTCTCTTCATTGGCAAATAGTTTTGACAACAAACAATATCATCACTCTGTACCAGTAGTGGATCAAACAGTAGATGGGTGACATCTCCTACTTGACCAAAGAGAGGCCATTCCCTACCCTGTGCAAAGCCCAGGACCTAAACTGCTCTCATCCTCCAAGTCTCCTGACAAACTGATTAGCAGGTGAACAAGACAATGGCCTGCTCCTCCTCTTTCCTTTACTCCCCTCTGCCCACTTACTAGCCTCCAGCCAGACTGCAGATAACCAAGCTGATGCCCCCTTTCCTGCTCCTCAGACCACATAGGCTCTGCATGGCCTGAGAGGAGCCCAGCGGTGTTGGAGAGGCATGCCCAGATGCCAACATAAGCTGACCCAAAGAAGCCACTGCTCTGCCTGCCCAAGAATCCTAGTTAAACGTCACAGTGGCTCTATTACTTGCAGAGGCCCCAGTTCCTGCACACACCACCTTCCGTTTGGCCGTCTCCTCATGAGGAACTTCACAGACAGACCCCCAAAGCTGGTGCCCCATAAGCACACTGGCCCGGAAGCCCCGCCTACGCCAACAGAAGCCCCGCCCACACCGACAGAAGCCCCGCCCACACCGATAGTAGCCCCACTCACTGTGGATGCAGCTTGTAGAGCGTCCCGTCCACCCCCACAGTGACGTTGAGATGGTCCAGGCCTCTGTTCTCTCGTATCTTATCCACCACAGCTGCCATGCCAGCGCCACACAGCTGCGCCGCCCTCCTGGACACCACCCCGCACACCGTCTTCACGAGGATACTGTCGTCGCAGGTGCTGTCCAGGCCCAGCTGCTGGAGGATGGCCCGGACCTGCAGCAGTGCTAACCGGTCACTGTGGTGGGCAAAAGCCGAAAGGCCGGATGAGGCAGGACCGGCAAGAGCAACCCAAAGGCCAATTCCAAAGAATTGGACCCAAGTCTCCGAACTTATTGACAAATAGGATTGGGTGGGGGTGGGGGGGTTGGTGCTTACTTTCAAAATAATATTCATTTGCTTTTTCAAATGACCCCCCCCAAAGTACTGCATGTTAATTTGTAGAAAAATGGGCAAATCTAGAAAAATTAAAACTGCCCACAATCCTAACACTAGGGAAACTGCTTCAACATTTCAAAGTATTTCCTTCCAGTCCATTTTTCCTAAAAGCACTAAGTCATCTCTTTGTTCTTATGATATGCAAAATGGACTCATCCTTCATAGGTGGTTTTCTTTCTTGTGTTCTTTTCCACCTTAATTTATACATCTGCGCGGCCTGAGGAGGATTGGAAACCACCGCTGTAATATTCTATTGTGGGAAACACCTTGACTTAGACTTGAAGTTGTTGGGGGTTTTCTGGTATCATCAAGTAACTTTCTGGTCAAGTTTATGTATGCATCTCCGGTAGTTTCATTTTTTCCCTCGAGGATACATTTCTGGCTCAAAGGGCATTTGATACAGATTGCCAAATGCTTTTCAGAAAGTTGTATCAATTTATCCTCCCTGGGAGGGTATGGCCCTACTTGTCCCAGTAGCAAGCGGAACCTTAACTGTCTGACCCCTTGCTTTGGATGGCACCAGGCTGTGGCCTGACTCATGCTCCTCTCTCAGGGCTGAGCACGCCTCTGGCTCAGGTAGGCGGTGAGTGTTACACACAGGTGGCAGATACAGGCAGCGGGGAAAGCAACCTAGCAGGCTCCAGCAACCTGGGGTTGCTCTTCCCACCCTTTTGAAGAGAGGTGGCTTCAGCACACCTGCTTTTGCTTTGCAAAGCACTTTCCCTCCTTCGCTCACAACTCGTGGTGGAAAAAGGCAAAGGCAGATGGAATGCCTCCTCTAAATGAGAAGATGTGAGACAGAAGCTACCGATGTGGGGTGTGCAGACAGGGGGCCAGTGACCTCGTGCCACCTTTGAGATCAGGAGAGCGTGGAGCTACAGCAACGGTTCTTGGGAATTCTGGATTCAATGCCCCTTCGATACAAAATTTATAATGCACCTTTGCTATCCTAAAATGAAGTCTATACATGCTGCTTAGCAAAAATCATCTCAAACAAATGAATGTATCCAACATAAAAGATGATAAAAGGATAGTTAAAATAAAAGTATATGACTCCAATAGGTACCTTCTCAGGTCCTACCACTCTAGAAGAGAAAAAAACCCTCATAAATGGCCAAAATAACCCCGCAGGATGCCTGCCCCACCCCCTCACTAGCCAGATCCACTGCTAACAGGCCCATACTCACCTCTCAATCTGAGAGAGATACTTGGTCTGAAAGATGCCCCAAGTCTTCAGCGACTCAGAGATCTGCCCCCGGAAGAGAAACCCCTTCTTGGTGAAGTCAATCAAGATGTTGCGGACAATTTCACCCAGGTACATACCACTGATCATCTTCTCAAACCTGAAACAGGAGGAGACGGCTGAGGGCTGAGGGATCACTTCAGTCTCATGGCATGCCCAGGAGGAGGACATGGGCCAGGGACTGAAGTATCCTCCACTCCCCAGGATCACAAAACCACCAGCACTCAGGTCTGCCTCCCTCTTCACTAACCTCCCTTTGCCTGGCAAAATCCCACTCCAGCTCTCAGCCCAAGACACCTGTCCTCCTTGCCCAGGATGGCTTCCTCTGCCCAATTCCAGCTCCTCCACACTTTGCCCTTCTAACAACGCATGTGGGTTCATCCCTCCAGTGAACACCCCCAGACGATGAGATGTGTGCCTGGCTCAGCTTGGAGACCCCCAGGCCTACACAGTCTAGCTCCAGGCACCCAGGCAAGTGTCCATATGTACCTAATATATGTGCAAAATAAGCAACCGACTTGGCTAAGTCTTAAAGGATCAAGAGGACAAGGGGAGCATTCCTAAATTTCTGGAAGGCTCTACAGAGGCACAGGGTTCCGGCTAAACACCCATCAGAGTGCAAAGCCACAGAGGCTGGAGAACTCGGGAGGTCACCATACACCTGAGCCTGTTCTTGGGGTTTTTAATTGCTGTCCTCTCCACACTGAAGGGCCCCCCAAATAACAAGAATTTAAATGTTCTCAAGCACATACCCACCTCCAGTGTACCTGCCCCTCCCCCACAGGGAAGATCCACTAGAATCAATATACTCAGAAGAGTCAGGTGATCCATGGAAAAAAAACCATGAAATAGCATTGACTCCCAGAAAGGGTCACTGCAGTTACCGATTCCCACCCAGTCCTCACTGACCAATGAGCCAGTCTTTGCTGCTGCTACGTCCTTACCACTTTGCAACACCTGATCTTTCTTTTGAACACTGGGGGTCTTCGTTTAGAGCCTTTGGTGGGCAACAGCAGCTAGCTACTAGTCTCTAGGTAACACTGTTCTTCACTAGATTCATCTTTCTATGATAATACGTTGGTTTTCCCCCTCACTAAATCTACAAAGGTGAGCTGATTTAAAGAAAAACATCAAGTAAATAACAAATAGGTGGTATTCCAAAAAGACAAAGATCGTGAGTGACTGGAGAACAACTTATGCTTGCCTTTCTCTGCTCCTCAGCATAACTTGGACCAACCCATCTAGGCTAGGCAGAGGATGCCAGATTTCTGGGAGCTTGAGACAAGGACACCCTCATCGGCAGAGCTTCAAATAGCCACTAGGTGGTGCAGGCGGCTCTCGCTGAGACGGACCAATCCTGCTGGGCCAGGGCCTCAACCTGAGGGTAAGCCCCCTACCGGCTTCCCCAACAGTCCTTGACTACTTCCCCACCACCACCACCCACCTCTGCCCTTTGATAAATTTAGGTCAAGTGTGTACTATTTCCACTAAACAACCCAAAACTTATTGACCAAGAGGTTTCTATTAATCTGATGGGAAAGAAACAGAGCAAGAGGAGAGGCCCAAATACTCCAAAAATGGTCACTAAGGGAAGTGGTGTGGCCACTGCCACCCAGTCTGGGCGTAGTCCTGACAGGACATCAGCCCTCAATCCTGAACCCTCTTGCACCATGTGGGGGCGCACCCCTCTCCCTGTCCTTGGGCCAAAAGCCAAGGTCAGGTGTGAACCTCAGGGCGCAATCACCAAGCCTCTGTCCAAACCGCACTCCTACTAGAAACTTCTTGGTTGCAACAGCGGCAGGCTAGCTGCCCAGATTCCCTTAGATGACTCCTCCTCCAGGCAGAATTACCTTTGTTTCCCAGCATTGAGTGAATGATCATCCACCATCCTGTCATAGTTCGTTCTGATATCATCCAGACACCCGTTGTCCCCAAAGGCACCCCACTCCATGTTGATACACATCCGTCCCACATCCCCATCCACCATCTGGACGTTCTTCATTTCTTCCATGTAGCAGGCATTGGATCCAGTCCCTGAAAGAGGGAGAGGAGGGGATGAAGGGCTGGGGCTTGCGGGGAGCATCTGACAGCGGGGCCTGGGATCCCACAGACACAAGGCACATTTTTAGAACACCGTGATAGCTTCACTTTCCCAATGTTTTCCAGGAAAAACTTCAAGAGCTGGAATTAAACCAGGTAGCACTGATGAACTTATTTACATTAGGTTGTCGGAAAGTTATGACTCATTTTTGCTTGAAAAACAGAAAAAAAAATATGTCATGATTTTCCAACAAGCCAATGTCCCTGTCCAGGCAGGGACATATTTGGTAGGAAACGGGTAGGTGGCCCTGCAAGAAGGAATATGTATTCCTTGATGGGAGTCTGGGCAATATGCAGATAGAGAGGATCTTTCTCTCCACACATGGGCTTGTTGACCATCATCCTGTATACCTGTCCACTTCTCTTTTATTATCAAAGACATCCGTGGAGGATGTCTACTCAGTGAGCTTTCTAGTGTTGTAGAATGAAGTCCACAACTCAAAGAAGATGAGTCCTAAGCATTTCAAGGGAGCCTTTCTAAATCACCTCTCTGGTATCACAGACTTCTTTGAAAAATCTGACAATTCTCCCAAGAAACAACATTCTCCTGTGTATACCCACACACTGCACACAGCACCCTGGCAGGAGGCCTCCAAGGGCTCAGGAACCTCTGATTTCCATCCCTGACCTCCCCAGAGCAGATTACTTGGACTGTGGCCCCTGAGGGAGGACTCTCTGCTGCTCCCACCCAAGAGGAGGTAAGTTTGGACACTGAGAAGCAGCGATCACAGCAGCTTTCATTGCCACCATATCCAGCTGTGGCCACCAGCTGTCTCAGTGGATGGATAGAACATTTAAAATTAACCCATCCAGGTGTCCTTCGCATGTATATTATTCTGTGCAGCTGAATCAAATGAGGAGCCTCTGAGAACTCAGGAGGCCTGGGGCCTGAGACTCTGCATTCCCAAGAAAAGCTTGCAGGTGACGCTGCTGCTGGTCTGAGACACACTTCAGAGTCAATGCTCTAAAGCACCACCGACTCCTCCCAGGTGAGATGTGACTGCAGCTGGACAACATCATTAGCGCACACGAAGTCGTCCTCACTGGCGAAGACCAAAAGGGCTTTGGCGGTTTTGTAAAAGTTTATAAAAAGCCCATTTAGGGCTCTCCCTCGTGGTGCAGTGGGTTAAAGCACAACATTATGAAGCTTTCCACAGCCACAGCAGCACAAATTCAATCCCCAGCCAGGGCGGTGACCCACTTGGTGTGCAGACCTCTTCTGACCCGCCCGCTTCTCCCCTCAACAGTGTACTTCATTATCTACCTGTTCTGCTCCCCATTGTCTCTGGTGAATCCTCTCACCCTCTGCACCGCTGATCTGTACCTCAGTTCTCTATGCATAAATAAATCTTTTTTAAAAAGAAGCCTATTTAAATGAGGTCAGGAGGTTAGAAGAAAGTTCCCACGGCTGCTCAATCAGCAAACCATGGACCCTACATGTCCCGCAGCTCCGGTGAGAAGTATGTTTCTCTGTCCCGGCGGCAGCCCCTTCAGAGGTTAGAAAGGGGATGCTGGTTTTTGATCCAGGAAGAACATGTGTGTTTCGCCATGAGACTGCATTTTCTAAATTGCCTTAACAGATAAAAAAAAAAGCTCATACGCTTTCTGCATGGTAAGAATGCAGACTGTCCAATCCTGATAGAAAATATATGGGTATTAAAAGTAGACCTACCATAAGATCCCGCAGTTCTCCCTAGAGTGCCCATAAAGTAGAGGGGGCATATATTACACAATGGAATACTACTCAGCCATAAAAAAAGATAAACCCCTGCCATTTGTGACAACATAGATGGAAATGGAGGGGACTGTGGTAGGTGACATAAGTGAGAAGGAAAAAGACAAGCACCAGGGGATTTCACTCATATGTGGTACATAAAAAATAATAATAATAAAATAAAGCAAGGGAATTCACAGAACAAAACCAAAACAAACCCTGGAAATCTGACTGTGGAACTGAGGACACCAGAAAGGGGGGGGGGGGGCGCTAGCAGCAGGTTTAGGGTGCTCACTGGACTATAGTGGAGGGCTGGTGGTGCATTGGTGGGGGACATGGTGTGATAATGTAAGATCTGTAGAGGTGTGAAGCCGCACCCCCAGTACACAGTGTTATCCATCATTGCCATCTCATTAAACATTAAAAACCTGCTTTTTATGGGACAATGGTGATGGCACACGGGTGAATTGGTGATAGGAAGCCCACAGGGATTGCAGCTGAGATGGAAAAAGGCACAAAATGATGTAAAAATAAACTATTATAATAAAAAAGCATAAAAAAATCTGCCTTTTGGTTATCGTTTCTGAATAAACCCATTTTGTTTGTGAAATAGCCGACTGCTTTTTGTTTAAAGTCATCATCTTGGATGGCCCACCTGGGATCCAAAGAATGATCTTGATGACATGGCTGGTGGGAAAGAGATGCTGGTGCCCACTGACAACCCTGAGCCCTGCACGCGGCACCCTGGAGTCGGGGGGGTCAGTCGTGTTTTGCCCTTTTGGTATTGAGCTCTACGAAGACTTATGTATTCCAGAACTTTCCTTGGTTTTGATTAGCCCTTGTTCTCTCTATGGGTATCTGCACTTTAGAAATCAGGTTACCCCTGACCACAATGTGTCAGCCTTTGGCCAAATCAACATTCTCACAGCAGCCGTGTTGGCCTTCGGTCCACCAGGTGGAACTGTGGTTCTAGCCTGGACTAAGGAGCTCAGCTTAGCACGACTGCTTTGAATACAGCCTGCTTCCTTATTGGAAACACTGTGCTGTTTGTGTGAGTACTCCAGGGCCTTTGACCTGATTTCCTTCTGGAAATGGGAGTTTCCTAAAAGGAACTGGCCATTTAGGAATTCCTGGCTCTAATTATAAATGAAAATGGGATCCCCATTATCTGAATGTTTTAAGGGTGTTGATGATCCTTCCAAAAAGCTCAGTGTGTCAGAACCACAGTCTTTCCTCATACATATTTCTCACTAAAAGGATTAAATTAACCAAAAGAAAGTCAGAACACGAATGTTGATTATGGGAAACTACTGAACTCCCCAAACTTACTTTTCTTAAATCAATATTGGACAGCCTGGCTCTGAAATTTCTAAAACTGAATGGGAAGCCTATTTCAAAGGGTATCTGGAGGCATCCAATTATTATCGGTAGTCTAAAATGGCCTCCTTGCAAAGTGAAATGTTAAAATTAACTGAAGTGAACAATTAAAAAAAGATCAAATGGCTTTGGGAGGCTCCTTCCTGATTCTTACTTGCCTTGCCTCTGGGCCACTGTTTGTGCTCAGGGGCCACTGTACTGAGGTATTTTATGGCGATCCCTCGGGCACCCTCACCTCCCTTCCCTCTGAACTGCCCACCCCTCTTCACACCTCTACCTTCCCCAGCCTGCTTCTCTTGCTGGCCAACACTTCCCCGTAGCCTCTCTCTTTCTGATCCCTGCTCTGGACTTAGGACAACCTGCCCTCTTCAAGTTAAATTTTCTGAAGATCGAGATAAACCTGAAATTTCTTATGTGCCCTGGATGAAGGCTGAATTGTCAGTCATAAAGAGCTTCCTAAAGTCACTGAGAAGTCTTACAGGTTTGCTAAAGAATTTGACCTAGCTATGCACATTTACCAACGTGGGTTTGGAGAATTAACAGCAGTTAACTCATGTGCTTGTTGGTGACCGTCAAGTTAAGCAGTGGATGGAACTTGCCAGATGGGAAAATCCTGAAAAGGATTCTCTGATGGACTTTATCAAATAATTCCATTTTTCTAAGCCCACTGATTGAGACAAAAATCAGACTTGTACACAAAAGCCTGATGAACCTGTTAGTAATAATTATAACTGATTTCCAAGTGTTCTCAAAGAAAATTCAAGTCTTCCTTCTGAAGCTACATCTTGTTTGGTTGTTCTTTGGTTGACTGTTAATTGGCTGAATTGAGGCATTTCTCAACTAGTCATAAGAAGCAGAGTAAAACAGGAAAGTGGGTCCTCCCTGGTGGCACAATAGATTAAAGCTATCCTCACGAATTCGATCCCCAGCCAGGGAGGTGACCCACATGGTGTGGCATACCTCTCCTGACCTGCCCACTGTTCTCCTGAGCAGTGTGCCTTAATCAGTCAGCCTGTTCTGCTCCCTGCTCTGTCTCTGGTGAAGACTCCCACCTTCCTGCACCTATGGCCTGTACCTCAATTCTTATATGCATAAATAACTCTTTTTTTTTTTTTTTTAAAGATTTATTTATTTATTTATACAGAACTGGGGTATAGGCCAGAGATGCGGAGGGTGAGAGGATTCACCAGAGACAGAGTGGGGAGCAGAACAGACAGATCGAGGAAGTACACTGCTGAGGGGAGCAGCGGGCGGGTCAGGAGAGGTCTGCCACGCCATGTGGATCTCCTCCAGGGCAGGCGGGAATCGAACTCATGCGGAAGTGGGTTTAGATTCTCAGTGCTGTGCTTTTAACCCGCTGCGCCACCAGGGAGGGCCCAATAACTCTTTTTTTTTAAAAAAAAAAAAAAGGAAAGTATGTCCACTCTAGATCTAGTTGGTGAAATAGCTCACTCCTACTTCACATAAGGCAACGAAAAAAAAAAAGATGGCAAAAATCCTTAATTTCAATCCCACCAAATAAAAGTTTCCATATGAAATCAAAACAAGCCTCCTAATTTCTGTTATTGTTTTAAAGCAGGTCAAAACTGGGGTGGACACTGGACAGGGAAACTGTCACACATGCATTTCAAACTCCAAAAGCCTTCCACCCAGCTTTTCCAGGGTCCTCTTAACTCTGTGATAGGAATCTGAGAACCTACAGGGACTTTTCCCAGCCCATCCTCTCATCCCCACTATATGATTAAACGATTGGTCCCCCAGTAAAACGACATCATTGTTGCTTCATCAACTGGAGTTGATGGGTCTTATCCTCCCTCAACAGCATTCATAGATCAATATTGGTAGGAAATACTGGCAAACCTGCAAAAAGTGCCTCCCATACTTGTTCTACCTGTCCAAAATACAACTCAGGAAAGCCTGTTCTCACAGTTCTTGGATATTCTTAATTGCCTATTAGGCCATCAAGGTTTGGCAATTGGACATTCATACAATTACACCTGTCTTGTGGATGTGAATATGTGTTAGTCATACCATGATTTAATTACATTATGTTTCTCACTGGACTGAGGCTTTCCCCTTTAAACAGTAAACTGCCTATTCTTCAGCCTAAATTCTTCTGGAAGAGATTATCCCTACCTGGGAACCCCTCTTGAATTTCATAGTGATGGAGGAACCCATTTAACTGGTCAGGTATTTCAACAATGTTTTCACTATACTTACGACTCAATCCTCTGGTTTAGCTGAACTCACCAACAGCATTATTAAAACTCAAGTGGCTGATTTGTAAAGGTCCTCTAAACACCTTAGCCAAAAGCACTGTCACTGACCCTTCTAAATCTCAGATCCACCCTATTTGGAACTCAAAACCTCTCACCCTTTGAGACAGTCACTGGATGCTCAATGTACCTAGGCCTCACTTATTGAAGGCGATAACATTCCAATGTTGTAAAAGTCTAACTGCTTCTATCAAAAATAACCATGTTATGGCTGACCATCTCTGCACAGAATGCTCCCTGGAGATTAAAGACCCTAAGGAACAACCTTGCAACCTGTGGAGATTTTACTCTATTGGAAAAGAAACTTCCAGAAAGACCCTGGAGCGTAACCAGAAAGGTACATACCAAGCATGGCTAACAAACCCTCTGTAAGCAAATGTCATGGAAGGTTCTTGGGCTCACATGATACATCTTAAAAAAGCACCAAATCCTATTGGGCCACATGCCATCCGGCAACCTGTTGCCTGACCTGGGCATTTTTATATCAAAATGGGACATGGTGCCAGGAAAGGTCCTTCTGGGCACTGAGGGACAAAAAGGTCACTGAATCTTGGATGCCCCTAATTCATGACCAGCAAGGCTTTCACAGTCTTGCTTAAAAGGGGAAATTTTGAGGTGTAAAATACAGAAACCTTATTAAATGAGGTCAGGAAGCTACAAGAGAGTCCCCATAGATGCACCATCAGCTAACCACAGACCCCACTAGCCCAGCGCTGAGGGCACTGCTGCCCCACCCCAACAGGAAGAGTGGGGAGGTCCTCTTTACCTGGCAGTAGACCCTCCAGAATTTACATAAGGGGGTACCAGCTTTTGATTTGGGAAAAACATGTGTGTCTCACTATGAGGTTATACTCCACAAATTGCTTTTTGGTTGTTATTTCTGAAAAAAAAAAAAAAAAAAAAAACAACTCTATTTTGCTGGTGAAATAACTGATTGCTTTTTTGTTTGAAGTCAACATTTTCAACCCCTTTCAAGAAACTTAGAATTTGCAGATGTGTCTGTTATTTTCATTAACTGTGTAACTGGATTGTTTTTGTTCTCTCATCTTCTTTTCATTCCAAATAAAACAGGAAGAGAAAAGGAACCACAGAAACGATGGGGGTGGGGGGCAAAGGGTGGAGGCTGTGAAGAAAGGAAGCTCTACCACTGTGTCCTTGAAGTTCAGTGCGAAAAGATCAGCTGAGGGGAGCAGAAAGAATGGTTTTGTATGGGAAGGCGGGGGAGGGGAGCCTTGAAGAAATCCAGCCCCAGCCTGGGACCAGAAACACCTAGTGGGCCTGCCCTGGGCAGGCCTGACCTCCAGCCTACCAAGAGAATGTGCTGTGTCACTCTAGCTTTGCATTTTACACCTATGCCCATTCATCAGCAGGGGCGGGGTGGAGGGAGGGTGCAGGGCGGAGAAAGGAAGCCTTGCAAAAATAAAGAGACAAAGAACACAAAGTCAGGATGCAAACAACCTTTTACCTTTTTCCACAGGAGGCCAATAAAAAAGTCTTCCCACACCCAGGACTAAGACCTGCTGGGCCTTATCCCAATCCCAGAGACACTCAGTTAATGCCTGGGCAGCAGGGTGCCCCTCCCAGTCCCAGTAGGGTCCCCAGAGGAGGCACTCTGACACTAGCAGCAGCATCAACTGGACAAGTGGTTTTCTCACAGTCCAAATCAAAATGCTCCAGGGAGTATGTGTTCTTGTAGCCCAGACACATAACAATGGAAGTTTAGAGCAGAAAATTTAGGGTGGAGGTTTTCATAAGGTCAAAAGCAGCGTTGGGGTAGGGATGATTAACCAAAACCAAATGTGGGAGTTGTTAAACCCCACTGGGCATCAGAGCTGGGATTAGACAGGATTATCTATTGTTACAGAACACCAACCTAATCTTACCCCAAAGCAATGAAGTGCCCCAAAGGATGAATCTCCCCCCCCACCCCCCCAGCACTATATGAAGATATCCCTTACTCTGCAAAATGCTAGCCTTGTCCTAAAACTGCCCATCTGTGTCCATGCAGACATCTCTTCCTCTTAATAAACCTACTCTTAAGAATGCAGTGTTTGCCTGCTGGTGGGAATGCAAACTAGTACAACCACTATGGAAAACTGTTTGGAGGTTCCTCAAACTGCTTAACATGGAGCTTCCCTATGAAAGAGCGATCCCACTCCTAGGTATCTACCCAAAAGACACAATAACATAGATTCAAAAAGTTACCTGCACTCCCATGTTTATTGCTGCTTTATTCACAATTGGAAAGACATTGAAACAGCCCAAATGCCCAAAAATGGAAGACTGGATTAAAAAGATATGGTACATATGCACAGTGGAATATTACTCAGCAACCAAAAAAAAGAAACACATGCCTTTTGCAGCAACATGGATGGAGCTGGAAAAGATCATGCTTAGTGAAATAAGCCAGAAAGAAAAGGAAAAATACCAGATGGTTTCTCTCATAGCAGGAATATAACAGACCAGGCGAGAAAATAATGATAATGATGAACAGCTAAATACCAGAGACATTTTGTGGGGGTGGAGTGGGGAATGGGAGCAAAAACAGTGGGGGGAGGGAAATGCACTGGACTATGGGGATGGCACATGGGTGACTGGTGATGGGAAACCCAAGGGGATTGCAAATGAGATAGAAAAATACACAAAATTATGTAAAAATAAGCTATTATATATATTAAAAAATGCAGTGTTTGCTTGTCTGGAGAGTTCTGGAAGTGTAAAGTGGTAGAGGGACAATGCTGACAGAGATACTACCCACGTTGCCACACAAGAATGAGCTGCTGACACAAAGTTCCACAGAACAGAGAAACCCAGCCTGCCCTGCCCCAAGCAGAGAGGGCTCTGGCACACCCACCTACAATGAGTCCAACCTCACAGGTGGGCTCCTCATAAGCACAGGTCATCATAGTGCCCACCGTGTCGTTGACCACAGCCACCACATCCAGTTCAAATTCCTTTGGAGAGAAAAGAACATGGTATTAGGGGAAAGACAGCTCTGCCTGGCTTGAATTCTGCCGGTTCACTCTTAACATACTGCTGTGAGATAGCCACAGTGCATCATCTGAAAGAGTGTGCTTATCAGCCTAGGAAGTGCTCCAGCTACTGAATACATACTCTAATGACATATCTGACATCTGATATCTAAAGAAAGAAGTATTTTACCCATTTCAGTTGGCACTGAGTACTATAAAGGGAATTTGTGAATGAAGAAAGTTCAAGAGACGGTTGTCATATGTCTCTCTTTTCTTTTTTCTTAAGTTTAAAATATTATAGCCTTTCAGAGGCCAAAATGGAAGTATCAAATCTATTTCTCAGAAACTGTCCTGCAGAAATGGTCACACGGGTACAAAATGTTATATGTGTAATGATATTTACTGCATGCATTATTAGCCAGAAAGAGAAACAACCCAAATATAGCTCCAAAGAGGCAATATATGCTTCTGGCAAACAATGGAATCCTATACAGCCAAGAAAAAGAAAGAGGTGTGTCTATATACACAGTGATGTGAAAAGATGTCCATTTCATGTTGGATGAAAAAAGCAAGTTATAAATATAGTTATAACAGTATGATTCTGATTTTAAAACTGTGTGTTGGTATATGTATGGAAACAGTTGGAAGAAAACTTAAACTAATAGTCATGAAATGAGTGAAAACAGATCATCAGGTTCTTTTCGATGAGTTATTAGCTGTTGTCAGGCATCCCCCAGGTACCATGGATCCCTCGTTCAACACATTCATTTTGGTCTCCACAACTGCCTATGTCTTTGTCTGCTTTTTTGAACTGGAAACACTTAGTGTTTTTCTTTTACTTCTTAGCAGCTCCTCATTCACCCGTGAGTTAAATAAAGTCTTTGGAATTTTTCAATTTATACTTTGCCAATGTCTTCCAGCCAAGGACTATTAGAAACACACCTTCGGTTGAACAAAGCTGGGCTGACTGACTGGTTGCCACAGCTGGTAAGGCTGCTAAGAAAGTGCTAGAAAAAACTTGTAGGGCTTGAGTGTGTATTAGCAGTTTGGGCTCTATACTGAATGCCGTCAGGAAGCAGGGGTGATTCTCTGAGTCTGCGCTGAGCTGAGGCTGCAACATGATTACAGCCAGGTCTGCCTCCTGACTCCATGTGGTCACACAGAGGCTGCGTGGAGCCCGTGCTCTGTGAAATCGTGTTTTACAGGAGAGCACTAAGGCGTCATGGCATGCCGGGCTGCTTTGCTCTTTACTGATGGCGTGAGTCATGATTTCACTGTTTTTGAAAAAAACTATCCTTTAACAATACAAAACTATCCACCTGGATTTTATCGCTTACAGCTATTATCCAGGTACATGCTGCTGTATGGTTTGAATTCTTTACAAGCAAATACAATTTTTATAACCCCCACAAAACAGAGAGATTTTTAAAAAGCATCCCTTGGTAGTTACCTCTCTCCTTTTCACCGCATCCCTTAGCAAGGTTGCTACATCATGCCCCACACAGTCCGTAGCCTTAAAACCCTTTGTCCAGGTTATCAAGATTCCCTAAAAAAAAGAAGACACAGGGAGAGTCAGGTTTAATTAAACTTCTGGGCGGAGTAAAAAGTTTCATTCTCTCCTCCTCAGTAAACATCTGCTGAGAGGTGACAGCAAGTTAAGGTCTGAGGCACAAAGCTGCAAGATGGGGAGAGAGGCCCACAGTCCCACCCCTACCCTGTGGGGCGTCCACACAGTGGTCTGGATAACACCCACTTCACAGATGGAGAAACGGAGGCACAGAAGGTTATTGGTGCTATCTCTGGTACAACGGACTAGTTCCCCTGAAGAACAGAATGTCAACAGCGGGAGCAGAGAAGCTCAAAATTTTAATAACACTGTTACTACCTAAGGTAAACTAGGTTTAACCAGACTGAAGTCATGCAAGGTGATGGTATAAGCAAGGCCTTTAAGAACCACAAAAAACAAGTGTGTGAGGATCCGATTTCTGACATCTAAAAGGCCTTAAAGAAAAACAAAAACAAAAAAATCAAGTCAGAACCATGACTGGATTAACTGGCTTCCAGAGGCAAGAAGCCCTACCTAGCTTCCCTAGTGCTGCCAATTATAACCCTGGCCCAAGGACCTGTGTGATCTGATGCCACCTCTAGGCCTCCGCCCTGTCCCACTCCACCTGTGACACACAGAGGCATGTGCAAGCAATTCCAGCTCGGCAGGCCTGGTCTCACCACCATGGCTCTGCATGTCAGTCCCCTCTGCACGGAAAGCATCCCACCCCCACCTTCAGCCCAGTGCTGGGTGCTGGAACTGCTGGTATGTGGACCACGATGCCCCAGGGACTGGGGGGGTCCCTGAGGATGAGAACCACAAATCCAGCGCTGTACCCAGTTTAGTCCTCAGCAGGTGCTTCAGTCCTGACCCTAGATCCTGTTTCATTCCATTAATTAAACCTTTAGTAAGTGTCAGCTCTAACAGAACAATGTGTTAGGGCCTGTGGGTAATGCGGGACCTTGTTCAAGGGCTCATGGTATAGCAGAAGAGCAAGTCAGGTCACTAAAGACTGCGGAAAAAGTGTGATACCCAGGCAGCACTCAAAAGAACAGAGAACACAAAAGAGGGTGAGGTTCTTTTTGCTTGGAGGACCAGAAGGCCTCCCTGAAATGGTGTGTATTTAAAATAAGAGAGGGCCCTCCCTGGTGGCACAGTGGGTTAAAGTAAAGCACTATGAAGCTGTCCACAGCCACTGCAGCATGAGTTCAATCCCCAGCCAGGGAGCTGACCCACATGGGGCAACAGACCTCTCCTGTTTCCCCCACTGCTTCTCTCAGCAGTGTTCTACATCAGTTTGCCTGTTCTGTTCCCCACTCTGTGTCTGGTGAATCCTCTCACCTCCTAAGCCTCTGGCCTGTACCCCAGTTCTTGTACGCATACATAAATAAATCTTAAACAAACAAATAAATAAAATAAACTGTGATGTACTGGAGAGTGTGACATAGAGCCTGGGTCAAGCTCATGTGACACCAGAGTCACTCTGCCAACTGGGGGATGGCACTGATGTAAAGGAGCCCTCAAGAGCCAGCCCGCCCAGCCGGCCATGGGGCAGTGAGTGCTCCAGTGCCTGACACCCAATGGAAAGACTCACCTCATCCAAGCTCGTCTGTTTGCAGGGAAATGAGAAGGTGAAGCCCAGAGGCATCTTAGGGCCTTTGATCCCCATGTAGTCCAGGAAGTCAGAGATGCAGGAGACGATGTGGTCAAACAGCTAGAGGAGAAAAGAAGGGTTACCCATGTGCTCTGATTTCCTATTTTCAGTGCACACACATTCACTGTCACCCTGACACACGCAGAGCAAGCTTCTCTAGGATCCTCACAGGCCCCTGAGCAGCACAAGCTCAGTGTGGCTGAAAATGCCCAGGCTCTCAGGCCACAATGACATCATCACCATGATGGCACCCCAAGGCAGGTGTCGGGGGCCACCGATGCTGCTGGTCGTGTGTTCCACTCACATGCCACAGCGAAGGAAAAGCCAAACAGACTCACTTCTTCCCCAGTGCCCTGCATGATCTCAATGGGAATGGCATAGATCTTGTTGTGCATTTCTACAGTTCTCTTTTTCCCACTACGGACTTTCACCAGCAAGACGCGGAAATTTGTTCCTCCGAGATCCAGAGCCAAGAAGTCACCATGTTCTGTTGGAGTTAAGAACACAAAGAATGTCAAAAACAACCAAGTGCCTGTTGGCAGCTAGTAAGCCACAAATGCAGGCTTTTAAGGGAATTAATGGGGAGAATTAAATACAGGGGAGAAGCTGTGAGTTTTCCCTTCAGCACAGAAAGGAGTGAGCATCACTAACTCACTGACCCCCACGACCTCTGAGCAACACTAGAGGGACCAAAGACCCCATGAATGAACCACTTGTCTGTTATAATAAACAAACTTCACCAGGGTTCCTGAAATGCTTGCAACAATGACCTGATTTTAGGGAAAAGAACATAAATCAGTGTAGAGAGCATTTGGAGGAATGGCCACAACCATTCCCTTTCTTGGCCTCATGCTTCCTTCCAAAATGACTGCAGTTCTTTCCACCACAAGATGGAGTCTGGGCCCTCCCTGGTGGTGCTACAGGTTAAAGCACCACATTATGAAGCTCTCCAAAGAGCACGAGTTCAATCCCCAGCCAGGGAGTTGAACCACACGGCGCGGCAGACCTCTCCTGATCCGCCCACTGCTCCCCTCAGCAGTGTACTTCGTCAATCTGCCTGTTCTGCTCCCCACTCTGTCTCTGGTGA